GGTTGTGCAAAATGGCCTGTAATTAAAAATTAAAATTAATTTTGAATTATAATTTAAAATTTAAAATTAATTTAAAATTAAAAATATTAAATAATCCCGGTGGGTTTGTTTTTTTATATGAATGAGAATTTTGGAGTTTTAAATCCCGGGAAGAATATTGGGAATATTTCAGGTTTGGGCTTCCTTGGAATTCCGATTTAGAGCAAAAAAGAGGGAAAAATGAATCCAATGTTTTTTTTCCCGAGGAATTTTAATGGATAAAATTCCCGCTTTTCCCATTGCTGCCACTACATTTGTTGTGCTTGTTCTTTCCATGCTCTCCCGGTTTATTTTTATTTTTGGGAAGATGAGGACACAGAAAAATCCCTGCCCGGCAGACAAAGTTTGGCCGGAAAAGCACAAATCCCAGGAATCCGAGCGGGAAACGGCTCCGACTCCTCCGGAGGATCCCGACGGCTCCCAAATCAACGGGATCTGCCCCGAGGAATCCGAGGAATTCAAGGGAGACCTCAAGAAATCCCGGAATGGCAAAAAGCAACGGAAAAGGAAACGCTCGCCCAAGGCCAAAAGCGGTGGCGCCGATTCCCAGCTGGAATTCCTGTTGGGAATGTCGGCCGAGCGCGTGTGGTTCGACAAGCCCTTGTACGACCGGGCCGAGAGCGTCTACCGGAAAAAAATCATGGATTCTTGGAGCGGGGAAGCGCCGGAGAGTCGAGGAATCCCGGAGGAATTCCCGGCGGCTCCTGGGGCTAAATCCAGCCCGGATATTCCCAAATCCAAGGGAATCTGCTCCCATGGGAATTTGGCCGCCTGTCACCACGTTGTCCAAGGGGTTTGGCTCAACAAGCCGGATTTCGACAGAGCCGAGGGGAAATTCATGGAGAAATCCCGGTTTTTCCTCCTTCCTCCCGACGTCTTGAGCGTCCCGGCCCGGAATTCCGGGCTGGGAACGCCGGACGAAGGTTATGGCACCGCCCTGCCCACTCCGGCCACGCCCTGCTTGGCTCCGCTTATTCCCGACTCCGGCATTCCCGGCGTTCCGGACGAGCCGGTGAACGGCAAGCCGCAGTTTTCCAACCGGGAAGCGCTGGCGGCGGAAGTGTGGCTGGAAAAGCCCCGCTACGATGCTGCCGAGAAGAACTTCTACGAGAGGATGTTTTCCAGGAATATCCCGGAGAAAATCATGGAGAAGAACCAGAAAGCCGGGAATCAGTCGGGAAACGGCGCCGAGCCGGTGATTCCCGGTATTCCCGAGGATATTCCCGCCTGTTTTTTCCTGCACCGGGACAGCGAAGCCGGTTGGCTCCAAAAGTCATCCTACGACCGAGCCGAATCCCGGTTCTTCGCCCTGGAAGCTTCCAGAGCCTCAGGGATTCGGGAATCTCCGGAAAATCCGCCCGGCCCGGCTCCGGCAACGAAGTAGGAAAAGTTTCCGTTCGTGGAGGGGGGAGGGGGAGGGAAAAACGTGGAAAAAATTCCGGGCTGGAGCAGCCCCAGAAGGAATTTTTGCATGTGGAGAAGAACTGGGTGGACTCGGAGGCGCTGCCAGTGGGAATTCCAGGCGGGAATTCCCCCTGCTCCGGATGGATTCCGGTGGATAAAGGTTGGATTCGCGTGGAGCCAGAATTTGGGAATTGAGCTCGGGGTTCCCATTTTTTTTTTTCCATGGATACGGGACCTTCCTCCTTTTCCATCCTCTCATTCCATGAAAATCTAAGCATCATTCCCATGATCCAGCTGGAAGAATCATTTAGGGAATGATTTTTCTGGGAATATTGTGCCATGCTTTGGTTTTTGGAGGAAAACGGTTGTTACGTTCCCGGGAATTTATGGAATGCTCTGGGATCCTTTCCATGCTCTCATTCCATGTCAAACTGAGCGTCGTTCCCAAGGGTTTGGAGGTGACAGGGACACAATTTAGGGAATGATTCCTCTGGGAATGTTGTGCCGTGCTCTGGGTTTTTGAGGGAAAAGGTTGTTCCATTCCCTGGAATTTTTGGAATGTTCTGGGATCTTTTCCATGCTCTCATTCCATGTCCAACTGAGCGTCATTCCCATGATCCAGCTGGAAAAACAGGGACATAATTTTGGGAATGATTCCTCTGGGAATGTTGTGCCGTGCTCTGGGTTTTGGAGGGAAAAGGTCGTTGCATTCCAGGGAATTTTTGGAATGCTCTGGGATCCTTTCCGTGCTCTCATTCCATGAAAAACTGAGCGTCATTCCCATTTTTCAGCTTTTCCATTCCATGTCAAACTGAGCATCATTCCTGTTTTTCAACTTGAAGAACAGGGACAAAATTTTGGGAATGATGTTTCTGGGAATGTTGTGCCATGCTCTGGATTTTTGGAGGGACAAGGTTGTTACGTTTCTGGGAATTTTTGGAATGCTCTGGGATCCTTTCTATGCTCTCATTCCATGTCAAACTGAGCCTCATTCCCATTTTTCATCTGGAAAAACAGGGACACAATTTCGGGAATGATTTTTCTGGGAATGTTGTGCCGTGCTCTGGGTTTTGGAGGGAAAAGGTTGTTACATTCCCAGGAATTTTTGGAATGCTCTGGGATCCTTCCCATGCTCTCATTCCATGTCAAACTGAGCGTCATTCCCATGATCCAGCTGGAAGAACAGGGACACAATTTCGGGAATGATTTTCCTGGGAATATTGTGCCGTGCTCTGGTTCTTGGAGGGAAAAGGTTGTTGCATTCCCGGGAATTTTTGGAATGCTCTGGGATCCTTCCCATGCTCTCATTCCATGTCAAACTGAGCGTCATTCTCATGATCCAGCTTGAAAAACAGGGACAAAATTTTGGGAATGATTCCTCTGGGAATGTTGTGCCGTGCTTTGGTTTTTGAGGGAAAAGGTTGTTGCATTCCAGGGAATTTTTGGAATTCTCTGGGACCCTTTCCATGCTCTCATTCCATGTTCAGCTGAGCATCATTCCCGTTATCCAGCTTTTCCATTCCATGTCAAACTGAACATCATTCCCTTTTTCCAGCTGGAAGAACAGGGACAAAATTTCGGGAATAATTTTTCTGGGAATGTTGTGCCGTGCTCTGGATTTTTGAGGGAAAAGGTTGTTGCATTCCTTGGAATTTCTGGAATGCTCTGGGATCCTTCCCATGCTCTCATTCCATGTCAAACTGAGCGTCATTCCCATGATCCAGCTGGAAGAACAGGGACATAATTTCGGGAATGATTCCTCTGGGAATATTGTGCCGTGCTTTGGTTTTTGGAGGGAAAAGGTTGTTGCATTCCAGGGAATTTATGGAATTTCTGGAAAACTGTGGGATTTGGGATGAGGTCGTGGCAGATCCTGATCCTGTCATGTTTTCCTTGTGCTGTCCCATCCCTGTTTTCCACCTCCTGTCCCTGTTCCCGGCTGGAATTCCGACCACATCCCCTTTTCCTCTTTTCCCCTTTCCCTTCCAATGAATCCTTTGGAAGCTGCTCCTTAAAAATTCCACCATTTCCCAGCAGGATCGGGGGGGGGTTTTATCCTGGTTTTCCCAAGGAGCACCAGGGATTTTTCCATAGGGATTTTTTCCATGTAGTGCCAGGGATTTTTTTCCATGATTTTCCCATGGAGTGCCAGGCATTTTTCCATGATTTTTCCATGTAATGCCAAGGATTTTTCCATGATTTTTTCCATGCAGTGACTAAGATTTTTCCATGGAGGAACAGGGATTTTTCCCATGGAGTGCCAGGGATTTTTCCATGATTTTTCCATGTAGTGACCAGGATTTTTCCCATGGGGTGCCAGGGATTTTTTTCCATGTTTTTTCCATGGAGTGCCAGGAATTTTTCCATGTATTGACAAGGATTTTTCCATGGAGTGCCAGGGATTTTTCCACAGGAATTTTTTCCATGTAGTGACCAAGATTTTTCCATGGAGGAACAGGAATTTTTCCCATGGAGTGCCAGGGATTTTTCCATGATATTTCCATGTGGTGCCAGGGATTTTTCCATGATTTTTCCATGTAGTTACCAGGGATTTTTCCACGTATTGACAAGGATTTTTCCAAGCTAATGCCAGGGACTTTTCCATAGGGATTTTTTCCATGTAGTTACCAGGAATTTTTCCATGTATTGGAATTTTCCATGTATTTCTATGGAGTGCCAGGGATTTTTTTTTTCCCAGGATTTTTCCCATGTAGTGCCAGGGATTTTTTTCCAGGGATTTTTTCCATGTAGTTACAGGGATTTTTCCACAGGAATTTTTTCCATGTAGTGACCAGGATTTTCCCACATAATGCGAGGGATTTTTCCATGATTTTTCCATGTAATGACAGGGAATTTTTCCCACATAATGCCAGGGATTTTTCCATAGGGATTTTTTCCATGTAGTGCCAGGGATTTTTCCACAGGAATTTTTACCCTTTAGTGACCAGGATTTTTCCATGGAATGCCAGGAATTTTTTCCATGTAGAGCCAGGGATTTTTCCATGATTTCCCCATGTAGTGCCAGGGAATTTTTTTCCAGGATTTTATTTCCCTGTAGTGCCAGAGATTTTTTTCCAGGAATTTTTTTCCCCTGTAGTGCCAGGAAATTTTTCCACAGGGATTTTTTCCATGGAATTACCAGGGATTTTTCCACCTATTAACAAGGATTTTTCCCATGGAGCGCCAGAGATTTTCCCACATAATTCCAGATCTCTCCCTTCCAAGTTGGTTCATTAATCCCAAACCATCCCACAATTCCATGTCTCCATTCCTTTCTCCTTTCCCTTCCCTGGTGCTCCCCCTCAAATCCCAGCAGGGTTTTTTATGGAATAAGGTCAGGATCAGTTTATCCTATCCATACCCAGCTCAGGCAGGTGGTTCATTAATCCCAAACTATTCCACAATTCCCTTTCCCAAACCATCCCACAATTCCACGTCTCCATTCCTTTCCCATTCCCTTCCCTGAGCAGGCAGCATCCCTGGCACTCCCCCTCAAATCCCAGTGGGGTTTTTTATGGAATAAAGTCAGGATCAGCTTATCCCGCCCATGCCCAGCTTAGGCAGGTGGTTCATTAATCCCAAACTATTCCACAATTCCATGTTTCCAAACCATCCCACAATTCAACATCTCCATTCCTTTCTCCTTCCCCTTCCCTGGTGCTCCCCCTCAAATCCCAGCAGGGTTTTTTATGGAATAAGGTCGGGATCAGCTTATCCCACCCCTGCCCGGGTCAGGCAGGTGGTTCATTAATCCCAAACCATCCCACAATTCCATGTTTCCAAGCCATCCCACAATTCCACGTCTCCATTCCTTTCTCATTCCCCTTTTCTGGTGCTCCCCCTCAAATCCCAGTGGAGGTTTTTTATGGAATAAGGTCGGGATCAGTTTATCCCGTCCATGCCCAGCTCAGGCAGGTGGTTCATTAATCCCAAACTATTCCACAATTCCATGTCTCCAAACCATCCCACAATTCCACATCTCCATTCCTTTCTCCTTCCCCTTCTCCTTTAAATCCTGGTGGGGTTTTTTATGGAATTAAGTGGGGATCAGTTTATCCCTCCCATGCCCAGGTCAGGCAGGTGGTTCATTGATTAATCCCAAACCATCCCACAATTCCATGTCTCCAAACTTTCCCACAATTCCACGTCTCCATTCCTTTCTCATTCCCCTTTTCTGGTGCTCCCCCTCAAATCCCAGTGGAGATTTTTTATGGAATCTAGTCGGGATCAGCTTATCCCACCCCTGCCCGGGTCAGGCAGGTGGTTCATTAATTAATCCCAAACTATTCCACAATTCCACGTCTCCAAACCATCCCACAATTCCATGTCTCCAAACCATCCCACAATTCCACGTCTCCATTCCTTTCCCATTCCCTTCCCCGATCCACCAGCTCCCCCCTAAATCCCAGTGGGGTTTTTTTATGGAATAAGGTCGGGATCAGCTTATCCCAGTTGTGCCCAGGTCAGGCAGGTGGTTCATTAATTAATCCCAAACCATCCCACAATTCCATGTCTCCAAACCATCTCACAATTCCACATCTCCATTCCTTTCTCCTTCCCCTTTTCTGGTGCTCCCCCTCAAATCCCAGCAGGGTTTTTTATGGAATCAGGTCGGGATCAGCTTATCCCACCCCTGCCCCGGGTCAGGCAGGTGGTTCATTAATTAAGAGCATTAATTCATTAACGAAGCCGATCCCGGCGCCTCCAAACCCTTTCCCTGCTCGAACATTCCCCCTTCCCATCCTTCCCTGCTCCTTCCCTGACCTGTGAGGGGCTGTTTTTCCCAGGAAAATGGCCCTGGATCACTTCCTGCACGACAAGGTCTGGCTGGACAAGCACAAATACGACGACGCCGAGCGCAGGTTCTACGAGCGCCTCAACGGCCCCCGCGGGGGCTCCACCCGTTCCCAGGTAAATCCCAGCCTCGGGAATTCCCCACCTCGGGAATCCCACAGGGATTTGGGGGGAGGGGGGAGGGGGGAATAATATTCCTGGGGCTGTTTTGTTCCCATTTTTCCCGGTGATTCCTGAACTGACCTTCAGTTAAACCCGATTTGGTCGCTTTTATTAGTTGGAGGTTTTTATTTATTCCATGATTTTTATGGATTCTGGAGGATTTGATCCCAGGGAATTGGGAGGTCACGTGGCCTGTATCCTTAATTTTGCCAGGGATTTTTCCCTGTAATGCCATGGATTTTTTTCCAGGGATTTTTCCCTGTAGTGCCAGGGATTTTTTTCCAGGAATTTTTCCATGTGGTTACAGAGATTCTTCCCACGGAATGTCAGGGATTTTTCCCTCTAGTGCCAGGGAGTTTTTTCCAGAGATTTTTCCATGGAGTGCCAGAGATTTTTTTCCAGGGATTTTTCCCACACAGTGCCAGGGATTTCTCCAGGTAGTGTCAGGGTTTTTTTCCCAGGGATTTTTCCCACTTAGTGCCAGGGATTTTTCCATGGAGTGACAGGGATTTTTCCATGGAGTGACAGGGATGTCTTTCCAGGGATTTTTCCCTGTAGTGCCAAAGATTTTTCCCATGGAGTGACAGGAATTTTCCCACATAGTGCCAGGGATTTTTTTTCCAGAGATTTTTCCATGGAGTGCCAGAGATGTTTTTCCAGGGATTTTTCCCTGTAGTGCCAAAGGTTTTTCCCATGGAGTGACAGGGATTTTTCCCACATGGTGTCAGGGATTTTTTCCAAGGATTTTTCCATGCAGTGACAGGGATTTTTTTTCAGGGATTTTTCCCACATGGTGCCAGGAATTTTTTTCCATAGGGAGTTTTTCCCTGTAGTGCCAGAGATTTTTTTCCAAGGATTTTTCCCTGGAGTGCCAGAGATTTTTTTCCAGGGATTTTTCCCTGCAGTGCACACATTTTTCCCATGGATTGACAGGGATTTTTCCATACAGTGCCAGAGATTTTTTCCAGGGATTTTTCTCTGTAGTGCCAGAGATTTTTTCCAGGGATTTTTCCCACATAGTGCCAGGGATTTTTCCATGTGGTTACAGAGATTTTTCCCATGGAGAACCAGAGATTTTTCCCTGTAGTGCCAGGGATTATTTTCCAGGGATTTTTCCCGCATAGTACCAAAGGTTTTTCCCCTGGAATTCCAGGAATTTTTCCCTGTAGTGCCAGAGATTTTTCCATGGATTGACAGGGATTTTTCCATAGGGAATTTTTCCCTGTAGTGCCAAAGATTTTACCCATGGAGTGACAGAAATTTTTCCCTGTAGTGCCAGGGATTTTTTTCCAGGAATTTTTCCCACATAGTCCCAAAGGTTTTTCCCCTGGAATTCCAGGGATTTTTCCCTGTAGTGCCAAAGGTTTTTCCTGTGGAATGACAGTGATTTTTCCATAGGGAGTTTTTCCCTGGAGTGCCAGAGATTTTTCCATGCAGTGCTAGAGATGTTTTTCCAGGGATTTTTCCCTGTGGTGCCAGGGATTTTTTTCCAGGGATTTTCCCCATATAGTGCCAGGGATTTTTCCATGGAGTGCCAGGGATTTTTTTTCCAGGGATTTTTTTTTAGGGAGCTTTTCCCTGTAGTGCCAGAGATTTTTTTCCAAGGATTTTTCCCTGTAGTGCCAGGGATTTTTCCCTGTAGTGCCAGAGATTTTTCCCTGTAGTGCCAGAGACTTTTCCTATGGATTGACAGGGATTTTTCCATAGGGAATTTTTCCCTGTAGTGCCAGAGATTTTTCCCATGGAGTGACAGGAATTTTCCCACATAGTGCCAGGAATTTTTTTCCATAGAAAGTTTTTCCCTGTAGTGCCAGGGATTTTTTTCCAAGGATTTTTCCCACATAGTGCCAAAGGTTTTTCCCATGGAGTGCCAGGGATTTTTCCATGTGGTTCCAGAGATTTTTCCCTTGGAGTGGCAGGGATCTTTTTCCAGGGATTTTTCCCTGTAGTGCAAACATTTTTCCCATGGATTGACAGGGATTTTTCCATACAGTGACAGGGATTTTTCCATAGGGAATTTTTCCCTGTAGTGCCAGAGATTTTTCCCATGGATTGACAGAGATTTTTCTCTGTAGTGCCAGGGATTTTTCCCACACAATTCCAAAGGTTTTTTCTCCCCATGGATCAACAGGGATTTGGTTTTGGCTGTTCCTGCTGGCACGGGAGACGGGAATAATAAAAACTGGGAAGCTCTGGATGAGTCCTGGAAGTCGATTTTTAGGGATGGAAAAACCTCTTGGAAGTGTTTAATATTCCAGGCTTCCAGGGGAAGGAGTTTTCCCTGGGATTTGAAGGATTCCTGGAGGTCCTGCAGCACTTTCCCAACCCTTTTCCCCCTGGAAAAATATCCCCACGCTCCTTAAAACCTTCCCAGGTGCTTCCCACTGGGATGTATCCAGGCTTATCCCTCTTTTCCTTTGCCTCTTTATCCTGGGATTTGGGGCTTGGGAGGAGTTTTCCTGGCTCAGGTTGGGCCTGCGAGGTCGGAATTTTGGGAAAAGGCAGGGAATTTCTGGGAAGGGGATCTTTAAATCCAGGGGAAGTTCTGGCAGCAGGAAAACAGGGGGAAAAAAAATTCCTTGTGTGCTGGAATTTCAGGTCTGGATACAGGGTTGGAATCAGGGCTGTCACTTTCTGCCTGGGTACAGAGAATTTTATGGAAAAGAGCTGCCTGGGGCTGGATTTTTAGGGAATCCTGGAGTCACTCCAACCTTCCAGGCAGGAAGAGAGGGGAAAAAATTCCTTGTGTGCTGGAATTTTGGGTCTGGATACGAGGTTGGAATCACAGTTGTCACTTCCTGGACTCAGGGAATATTATGGAAAAGAGCTGCCTGAGGATGGATTTTTAGGGAATCCTGGAGTCATTCCAACCCTCTGGCAGCTTTCCAAGGTTTCCAGGTAGGAGCAGAGGGAAAAAATTCCCTTGTGTGCTGGAATTTTGGGTCTGGATACGAGGTTGGAATCACAGTTGTCACTTCCTGAGTACAGGGAATATTCCAGAAATATCTGCCTGGGGCTGGATTTTTAAGGAATCCTGGAGTCATTCCAACCCTCTGGCAGCTTTCCAAGGTTTCCAGGCAGGAGCAGAGGGAAAAAATTTCTTGTGTGCTGGAATTTTGGACTTGGAGTCAGGGCTGTCCCTTCCTGGACACAGGGAATATTCCAAAAGATCTGCCTGGGGCTGGATTTTTAGGGAATCCTGGAGTCACTCCAACCCTTTTTAAGGAATTCTGGAGTCCTTCCAACCCTCTGGCACCTTTCTCAACCTTCCAGGGCAATTCCAAGCCCCTTTTCCCAGCTGATCCTTGCGGGGGTTCCGTCGCTCCGGGCAGCAAATCCCGCTGGGATCGCGGCCGGGACGATTCCCACTTTCCCCTCTCGATTCTTCCCTCCTTTTTCTCACTTTTCCCGGGTTTTTTTGGATGAGTTTTCCAAGGAAACTGTGGGTTCTTCCCCCCCTGTCTGCAGGAGAACGGAGCCAGCACGATCCTGCGGGACATCGCCAGAGCCAGGGAGAATATCCAGAAATCCCTGGAAGGGGTGAGTAAAACCCCCCTGCCCCCCCGGCTGGCTCTACTTGCTTCCCGCTTTTTCCTGGAATTCTGGCTCCCCACACCTTCTTGGGAAGGAAGGGACCAGCCCCAGTGTCACTCCGGCCCATCCCGAGCTTCCAAACTGCTGGAATTGGGGGGAAAATTCCTCAAGTTGGGCTTTTCCCGCCTTTTTTTTGGGATGTTCCCACAGGTCTTGGCTGAGGAGGGAAGTGCTGGAATGTGGAGTTTTTTGGGATCTCCTGAGATCCACCTTCTCTTCCCTGTTTCCAGGGGCTGTTAAAAGGAAATGGGGTTTTCCAGGGAATTGGGTTTGGCTGCTGGAGCTTCCCATGGGAGCTCAGGAATTCCCTCAGGAATGTGGTTTTGTGCTGAGTAGGGACAACACTCTGAAAATTCCCAATTTTTCCAAGAGGAAGCTGAAATATTAAAGTCATAAATGGCTTTATGGGAAGGAAAATCCCTGGATTTGGGTGAAAATTCCTCGAGTTGGGCTTTTCCCGCCCTTTTTTTTTCCTGCTGGGATGTTCCTTTTGGGGAAAAAGGGACTGCAGGGAATGTGGGATGTGGGCTGGTGATCCCATTTTCCCAAGGCTTGGATCATCCTTCCCTCAGGGAAGATCCCCCAGAGGCAACTTTTCCATGATTTCTGAGCTTGTGGCTTGACCAAATCCCAGGATTTTTGGGACCTGGATGCGCCTCTTGCTCCATGATTTGGGAAAGGGAGGAATTCCACTTGGAGACCTTGAATCCTTTCCTTCTTCCCTCTTTTTTTGTGGGATTAGCATTAACAGGGAATAAAAGTGTCCTCTCCCTGTGCTGAGGCCCCTCAAATCCTGGGATCAGGGGTTTTTTGGGATATACTGGGAATGTTTATTGACAAGGAAGATCCTGAGGGGCTGGAGCGTGTCCAGGGATGGGAACGGAGCTGGGAAGGGTTTGGAAAACTTCCCGAGGGAGCTGGAAAGGCTCATCCTGGAGAAAAGCGGGATCAGGAGGGACCTTGTTCCCAAAAATTCCCTGATGGGAAGGTGGAGCCGGGTGGGATTTGGGAATTTCTCCCAGGGAACGAGGGACGGGATAGGAGGAAACGGCCTCGAGTTGTTCCAGGGGAGGTTCCGGTGGAATACTGGGAAAATTCCCTCCTGGAATTTTCACCCTGACCCCAGAGTGGAGTCACCACCATTCCCGGGGGGATCGTGGATCCCTGTGGATCCCAGGATTTGGGATGGATCCCAGGATTTGGGACATGCATATGGATCGGGGGAACACTGGGATGGACTCCAGAGGCTTTTCCCGCCTTTGCCATTCCATGATTTTTATCCCTGGTGCCCCAGGGATGGGATGATCCCCGAGTGCTGCAGGAGCTTCCTGCGGGCTCCGAGAGATTCCAAGGCATTCCCAGATTTTTTTAAGGGGCTTGGTGTGAGATTTGGGGTCGAGTTTTCCACGTTTTCCGTGGCATTTTGGGGATCCAAGGGCGGGAAAAGCGACTTTATCCTCAGTGCCAGCTGGAATCCCTCGGGATTGGTTCCATCCCAGAGCTGCTCCTTTAGTTAAGATCCAAGAGGAGCCTCTGGAATTCCTGGAGGAATGTTTGTGCTCCGGGTGCTCCGCGTCCCTCCCGCTCCAAAGACTTTTCCAAGACTTTTCCTTGCATGTGGATCTTTCCTGCCCTTGAGCTGCCTCCGAGTGGGGAAACCTTTTCCCGCCTTCCCAAACTTTTCCCATCTTCCCAAACCTTTCCCGCCTTCCCAAACTTTTCCCATCTTCCCAAACCTTTCCTGCCTTCCCAAACCTTTCTTGCCTTCCCAGACTTTTCCCATCTTCCCAAACTTTTCCCACATTCTTCCCGTCTTCCCAAACCTTTCCCCTCTTCCCAAACTTTTCCCATCTGTCTTCCCAAACTTTTTGTGCCTTCCTCAACTTTTCCCAAACCTTTCCTTCTTCCCAAACCTTTCCCGCCTTTCCACACTTTTCCCCTCTTCCCAAACTTTTCCCATCTTCCCAAACTTTTCCCAAACCTTTCCTGTCTTCCCAAACCTTTCCCGCCTTTCCACACTTTTCCCCTCTTCCCAGACTTTTCCCATCTTCCCAAACTTTTCCCAAACCTTTCCTGTCTTCCCAAACCTTTCCCAATCTTCCCACACTTTTCCTGTGTTCCCAAGCCTTTCCCATCTTTCCAAACCTTTCCTGTCTTCCCAAACTTTTTCCAACTTTTCCCCTCTTCCCAAACCTTTCCTGTCTTCCCAAACATTTCCCCAACTTTTCCCCTCTTCCCCAACTTCTTCTCCCCAAACCTTTCCCCTCTTCCCACACTTTTCCCATCTTCCCACATCGTTCCCTCTTCCCAAACTTCTCCCTGTGTTCCCAAACCTTTTCCCTCCTCCCAAACCTTTTCCTTCTTGCCCAACTTTCCCTGCCTTCCCAAAGTTTTCCCCTCTTCCCAAACTTTTCCGCTCCCTGCAGCAGAAGACTCCTCCTCCTCCTCCTCCTCCTCCTCCTGCTCCTGCTCCTGCTCCTCCCGCTCGGAGCCGGGACGTTCCCTGTGGCCGTGCCCGGAAGCAGCCGGGACGCTCCTCCGTAAGTTTTCCAAGGGAACGGGACAGGATCCGGTTGGGATGAGGAGGCTCCTTCCCATTCCTTAGGGATGGATCCGCCTCTCCCGCCTCCCTTCTGGCTCCTCGGATAATCCTGGAGCTGAGATCCTGGGATTTGAGATTCATGCCGGAATTCCCGAGGCTGGAAAAGGTGGAATTTCTGGAGAAGGCTCTCCCTGGAAACCTTCCTGCTCCAGGAATCTCCGGCCCCATCCCTGGAAGTGTCTAAGGCCGGGTTGGAGCAGCCTGGGATGGTGGAAGTTTTCCCTCCCTTTCCATGGGAACGGGATCATCTTCCAAGTCCCTTCTAACCCAAACCGTTCCCAGATTTCTGGGATCCAGGCCCTGTTTTCTCCCCTCTCTCCACCCCAAGTGAGATCTCCTTGGAATTCCGTGCAGGATAAATTATTCCCCCTGTTTCTATTCCCTTGGATCTGCCTCTCCCGCCTCCCTTCTGGCTCCTGGATAATCCTGGAGCTGAGATCCCGGGATTTGAGATTCACGCCGGAATTCCCCAGGCTGGAAAAGGTGGAATTTCTGGAGAAGGCTCTCCCTGGAGACCTTCCCGCTCCAGGAATCTCCAACCCCATCCCTGGAAGTGTCCAAGGCCGGGGGAGCAGCCTGGGATGGTGGAAGTTTTCCCTCCTTTTCCATGGGAACGGGATCATCTTCCAAGTCCCTTCCACCCCAAACCACTCCCAGATTTCTGGGATCCAGGCCCTGTTTTCTCCCCTCTCTCCGTCCTAAGTGAGATCTCCTTGGAATTCCATGTGGGATAAATTATTCCCCCCCCCTTTCTATTCCCTTGGAAACGAAACTCTCCGAGCACAATTCCCGTCGTTTTCCTTCCTTTTGCTCCTCGGAATCGCTGGATAAGGAACCTCCTTAATAAAACAAACCCAAAAGCTCTTTATTGCCTCCCAAAAAAATCCATTGGAATCCTCGGGATCCATCATTCCCTCGGGATTTTTGGGGGTTTAAATTGTTGGGAACGAAAAGCTGGGCCGGGAATGTGGGAACGGAGAAATCCCGGGATCTCTTCCCGCCTTTCCCAGTGACTCGGTTTGTTGGGAGAGGAAGGAGACTGAGGGATTCCAAGATTTTTAAGGGGGCTTGGTGTGAAATTTGGGATGAGTTTTCCATGTTTTCCGTGGCAAAAGAGCGGGAAAAGCCACGTTATCCTTAGTGCCTGGGATCCCTCGGGATTTATCCCATCCTTTAATCCTTATCCCGATTTTATAAAACCCTTTGAGGGGAAAACATCCACGTTTTTACTTCAAGCTCTTAAAATTCCCTCCTTTCCCCCCGGGCTTTGGAATTTTCGGGAAAAGGGGCGGAACCGGCTCCGCCTCATCCCACTTTTCCTCCTCCTTCCAGAGCGGCGGCGCCTCCGGAGCCACCGGCGACCAGAACGAGCTCCTGGCCCGGATTTCCCACCTGGAAGTGGAAAACCAAAACCTCCGCAGCGGTGAGTGGGAAAAATCCTCATCCCGCCTCAGAATCCCACCCGGATCCGGGAAAACTTGAGTGGCTTTTCCCGGTTTTTCCCTTCTTTTCCCAGTGGTCTCCGACCTGCAGATGGCCATCTTCAAGCTGGAGAGCCGCCTGAACGCCCTGGAAAAATCCTCCTCCGGCTCCCACCAGCCCTCGCCCGTCCCTCCCACCCAGGTGAGCCTCGGGAACGTGGCGGGATTCCCTCTGGGAATGGAACTCCGGAGGGATCGACGATCCGGGGGGTCAAATATCCCGCTTTGGATCCCGTTCTCCCCCAAAATCCCACCAAGTGGGGCTTGAGCATTCCCATTCCCATCCCCGGGCTTTTGGGCTGCTCTGCTCCGACTCCAAGTTCACCTTGTTCCCTTTTCCTTCCCCTCGTTCCCTTTTCCCTTCTTTTTCCCTTTTCCCTTCTCCTTGTTCCTTTTTCCTTCATCTCCTCCCCTTTTCCCTTCCCCTTCTTCCCTTTTCCTTCCCCTTCTCCCCATTTTCCTTCACCTTCTCCCCATTTTCCTTCACCTTCTCCCCTTTTCCCTTCACCTTCTTCCCTTTTTCTTTTAATCTTCTCCCCTTCTTCCTTTAATCTCCTTCCCTTTTCCTTCACCTTCTCCCCCTTTTCCCTTTAATCTTCTCCCCTTTTTTTCCCTCCACCTTCTCCCCTTTTCCCTTCCCCTTCTCCCCCTTTTCCCTTCAATTTTCTCCCTTTTTCTTCTCCTTCTCCCCTTTTCCCTTTAATTTTCCCCTTTTCCCTTTAATTTCCTCCCTTTCCCTTCCCCTTCTCCCCTTTTCCCTTTAATTTTCCCCCTTGTCCCTTCTCCCCCTTTTCCTTCCCCTTCTCCCCTTTTCCCTTCACCTTCTCCCCTTTTCCCTTTAATTTTCCCTCTTGTCCCTTCACCTTCTCCCCTTTCTCTTCCCCTTTTCCCTTCCCCTTCTCCCCTTTCCCCTTCTTCCTTTAATCTTCTCCCCTTTTCCCTTTCATTTTCTCCCTTTCCCTTCCCCTTCTCCCCTTTTTTTCCCTTCCTCGTCTCCCCTTTTCCCTTCCCCTTCTCCCCCTTTCCTTTCTCCTTCTCCCCTTTTCCCTTCTCCTTCTCCCCTTTTCCCTTTAATTTTCCGCTTTTCCCTTTAATTTCCTCCCTTTCCCTTCCACTTTTCCCCTTTTTTTCCCTTCCCCTTCTCCCCTTTTCCCTTCCCCTTTTCCCTTCCCCTTTTCCCTTCCCCTTTTCCCTTCCCCTTTTCCCTTCCCCTTCTCCCTTTCCCTTCCCCCTCTCCCCTTTTCCCTCCCCTCCACAGAAAGTGGAACCTTTCAGCATTCCCTCCAAAAAAGTGGAGCTCCCGGCCAAGAAACCGGAGCCGGCGGCTGCCGAGGGGGAGGATGAGGACGACGACATCGACCTTTTCGGGAGCGACGACGAACAGGAAGACCGGGAAGCCGCCAAAGTTCGGGAAGAGCGGCTCCGGCAGTACGCGGAAAAGAAGGCCAAGAAACCGGGAATCATCGCCAAGTCCTCCATCCTCCTGGATGTGAAGCCGGTGAGCGCTGGGAATTTGGGAGCTCTGGGAATCCTCTCCCTTCCTTCTCCGAGGGGAAACGCTGGGAGGACCTGCGGAATTCCAAACCTTGGAACGGGGCGGGATGTTCTTGCTGGGATGTTCCTGCTGGGATGTTCCTGCCGGGATGCGTCGCCTTCGCGCCGTGGAATCCTGGGATGGTTTGGGATGGGAAGGGACCTTAAGGATCGTGGAATTCCATCGCCTTCCATGGGCAGGGACACCTCCCACTATCCCAGGTGGCTCCAAGCTGGCCTTGGACACTTCCAGGGATGGGGCAGCCACAACTTCTCTGGGAATTTCATCCCAACCCCTCCCCACCCTCCCAGGGGAGAATTCCTTCCCTATATCCCATTCCTCCCCAGTATCCCATTCCTTCAAGTATCCCATTCCTACCCCGTATCCCATTCCAATATCCCATTCTTCCCCAGTATCCCATTCCTTCCCATATCTCATTCCTTCCCAACATCCCATTCCTTCCAATATCCCATTCCTTCCCAATATCCCATTCCTTCCAGTATCCCATTCCTTCCCAGTATCCCATTCCTTCCAGTATCCCATTCCAATATCCCATTCCTCCCCAGTATCCCATTCCAATATCCCATTCCTCCCCAGTATCCCATTCCTTCCAGTATCCCATTCCTCCCCAATATCCCATTCCTTCCAATATCCCATTCCTTCCAGTATCCCATTCCAATATCCCATTCCAATATCCCATTCCAATATCCCATTCCTTCCCAACATCCCATTCCTTCCAATATCCCATTCCTTCCCATATCCCATTCCTCCCCAGTATCCCATTCCTTCCCAATATCCCATCTTACCCTCTGGCAGTGGGAATCCATTCCCTGTGTCCCATCCATCCATCCCTTATTCCCAGTCCCTCTCCGGCTCTCCGGGAGCCCCTTTGGACACCGGAAGCTGCTCCAAGCATTCCCTGGATCCTTCCCTTTTCCAAGCTCCGGTGAAACCAGCCGGGAAAGGGCTCTTTGGATCAGCTGGATGATCCCAAGAGGTGTCCTGGTGTAAAGATAAAAAGGGGAAAATCCTACAGAAAAAGGGCAGGAAATCAAGGAAAAAGAGGATCGCTGCCGAATCCCGGGAAAACACTTGAACTTCCCGCTTTTCCTGCCTCTTTTCCCAGTGGGACGACGAGACGGACATGGCCAAGCTGGAGGAATGTGTCCGTTCCGTCCACATGGATGGGCTGCTCTGGGGAGCTTCCAAGCTCGTCCCGGTGGGATACGGAATCCGGAAGCTGCAGATCCAGTGCGTGGTGGAGGACGAAAAAGTGGGAACGGACATCCTGGAGGAGGAGATCACCAAGTTCGAGGATTACGTGAGTCTGGGAGTGGGAGAAGAGAGGGAGGGTTGGGAAACGGGGATGAGTTTTCTTGGGAATGCCTGGAATTACCTGGATGACGTCAAAGTGGGATAAGAGAGGGAGGGTTTGAAAACCAGGATATTTTCTTGGGAATGCCTGGAATTACCTGGAGGACTCGTCAGAGCGGGATAAGAGAGGGAGGGTGTGAAAACTGGGATGTGTTTTCTTGGGAATGCCTGGAATTACCTGGAGGATTTGTCAGAGTGGGATAAGAGAGGGAGGGTTTGGAAACCGAGATGTGTTTTCTTGGGAATGCCTGGAATTACCTGGAGGACTCGTCGGAGCGGGATAAGAGAGGGAGGGTTTGGAAACCAGGATGTGTTTTCTTGGGAACACTTGGAATTACCTGGAGGACTCATCGGAGTGGGATAAGAGAAGGAAGGTTTAGACTGGGATGTGTTTTCTTGGGAACACCTGGAATTCCCTGGAGGACTTGTCAGAGCAGGGTAAGAGAGGAAGGGTTTGAAAACCAGGATGTGTTTTCTTGGGAACGCCTGGAATTACCTGGAGGACTTGTCGGAGCGGGATAAGAGAGGGAGGGTTTGGAAACCGGGGTGTTTTCTTGGGAATGCCTGGAATGACCCGGAGGGCTCTGCTCTCATTCCAGGTGCAGAGCGTGGACATCGCTGCCTTCAACAAGATTTAGATGGAAAACTGGGATCTTTTTCCCTCCGAAACGGGAATAATAAAGCTGAAGGTTGGAAGTGCACATGGAATGGGGGTTTATTCCCGTCTCCGGCGGGATTCCGTGGGGAATTTTGGGATATTGGAGCAACCTGGAGTAGCGGAAGGAGGTTGGAGCTTGAGCAGCTTCCAGGTCCTTCCCAACCCAAAGCATTCCATGATTTCCTCATTCCCCTGGGGAAAGGAAAGACCTTGGGATACGGGAGGGCCGAAATTTTGGGAATGAAGGTCTGGGGGTGCCAAAGGTGCTCCCAACTCCCCTTTCCCGAGGGAGAAACCCCCGGCAGTCCCGACTGGAAAAGGAAAACCAGGATGGATCAGCGGGAAACATCCCGGAATTGGTGGTTTGGGATGGATTTCATCCCTCTTTTCCCGTGGATTCCGTGCCCAGGTCGCTGGAGCTGTGGGAAGGTGACATTCCTGAGGGGGTGGCCTTTGGGAGAGGACAGGTGACATTCCTG